CACATTTATTTAAATTATTATTATTATTATTATTATTATTATTATTATTAGGAGGAGGAGGAGGAAAATAACATTAATATTCAAATATATTGCAAAAAAAAAAAAAACAATCGTAACTACTACATATAAAATCGACTTATGAATTTTTAATAATAATAATAATATTCAAAATCAAACATTCAACGATTTAAAAAATTTAGTAATCGTTTGTAATAAAAAAAAAAAGAAATTTCTTCGACTAACATAACATCGTACCGGTTAAGACAGTCGTGGAAACAGACTTGACGACCAAAAAAAAAAAAAAACCGTTAAACGTCCCGTTTATTAAAATTTTTTTTTTTAAAATGGCGTTTCATTCACATCTTTTACAAATGAAATTCAAAGTTCAAAAAAAAAAAAATTTTTTTTTTTATTCTTCAAGGCTGATAATTTTTATATGACCTTTGCACCGTGATACTGTTGTCGTCTGATGCAATTGTTTACACGAACCCAAAAATAATAATAATAATAATAAAACAGTAAAAACAAAAACTTTTGTCATATGGTGTTGTATTCAAATAACATCAATCAATCCAAAAAAATTTTTTTTTTTTAATCTTAATGACTTGGCATCCGGTTTTGACTTTTTTTTTTTTTTTGTTTTATGTGGGGAGTTTGTTTTTGTTTATATGTGAAAAGAAAGAATAAAAATAAAATTTAAGGAGACGTAAAATTTCATCGACATTTTTATTTAACTAATAATAATAATAAAAAAAAAATTTGTCGTTCGAATTTAAATTTTTCACGTTGTAAGTATATATTTTGACGAGAAAAAAAAAATAAAACAATTCCTGCCACGTTGTTTGTTTGTTTGTTTTTATTAATGGCATACAACAAACAAAACAATCAAAGATGGAGAAAAAAAAATTTAATTAATATTAGATTATCAAAGTAAATTTTGACCTTTTAAAAGTGTTTAAATACAATCGAAACAATATCTTCTTTTGTTGTTCATAAAAAAAAAAAACATGTCGATTTAGTATATCATTTAAATATTTTAATGTTTTCTTTTTGCCCTCCCTTCCTCCCCTCCCCTTTCAACCCCCTTCATCAGTAAGAATGACCTTTAAAATCTTCGGAGATAAAAAAAATTTCTTTATTTACAATCTATCGAACCACACTAAAAAAAATGTCAGGTACATCAGTTAATATTTTTATACGCGCGACGGTTAATATTTTTCATTCGTGACGTCATAAATATATTTGCTACATACCGAACGCGTGATCATAATCGCCTGTCATATAAAAAAAAAAAAAGTTGAATGATGACTGAATAAATAATAATAATAATCGCTGATTTTTGAAA